CCTCTAACGCCAAATCAAATGTGTTAGTTCAGGCCCTCCAGGAAGTCAAGATGGAGTTAGAAGTGCAAAAAATTTATCACAAGATGAAGGGGAGAGGACACAAAAAGAGGCAGGAAGAACCTTCAGACCACAGGGCAGGTGTAACACAAGTGGAAAGACAGGGAGAAGGAAGAAGGATTGGAAGGAAGACTCTCAGACAGTGGGGGAGCTTTCAGAATCCTTGGCCAGTGTCATGGGGAGCTCTGATGCAAAGATGGCCCATAGAGGAGTTCCACACTAAGCAAAAATGGTCCTAGTACCCTGCTGTGCTAAGCCTCTGATGGGGAGCAGCCTGGGACTAGCATGGTCTCGGCTTAAATGCTGCCCTGGACCCTGAAGGCATTGTGCCTGGATGCTGTCAACTAACTGCACTCCTCATGACAGAACTCTCTTAAAGCGACACCCAAGCAGTACACTTCCATAGCTGCCACAGGCCATCCTTTGTGCCACACAGATGCACTACTCCATACTTGCTCGGGGAGCAGTTCCTCCTTGGCTCCTGTGGGCCACTCTTTTTGAGGGTAAACTTAGAAGAGAAAAGTTGGTGGGGCAAAGTACAAGCCCTATCAGTGCAGTTGGTCCTGCAACTGCAACAGGTATTCATGATTACCCTCTTCCACTATCCATTCTAGGATTCCCTCACTCTCAACTGTAACCTCTGCAGTTTTGGCAGCTTTCCTTCACCCCTGAGTTATCTGAGTCCCTCGTATCCATATCCTTCTTAGGCCATTCACACTGTACTTGATCACTTACAGCCACAATGAGGCACGGTAGTACCAGAAGTCACTGGAGAAGATCATGCGAGTCCCCAACATATTCCTGTCTGCCTCTACTATATAATAACAGCAGTCTTACCTCTTTCTTGATAAGTGCCTATTAGTCCCACCAACATGATGATTCTTCCTGCATGCTGGTGTCTGGACTGAAGGAACCCCAAAATACCAGGTAGCAGTGGTAGCTATAAGTACAAATGAAACCCAGGCTGTATTTCCTGATAAGAGTACAAAGAACCAGAACCTCTACCCTGCAAAGCCTAGAGGTGGGGATGGGAAGCACAATGTTGGCCCCTGAGTAGGTCACTGGGAAAGATGGAAAGTGAGGCCACTTTGGCTTCTACCCTATGGCTTCCAGACCCCTGCATTCTTCTTACTGGGGACACAGTGCCACATGGACATCTCTGAGTCGTGCATATGCTGCATCCTGGAGGATGGCGCCTCATCCTTGTAAGGTATTGCCTCTAAGCATGTGCTTCAGCTATACCTCCAGAAGGCTGTTCCAATACTTTATCAAGGTAGCAGCTTCTGGGTGGCACAGTGTGATACCAGACTATCCCATGTTCATGGGCTCATGCACATACCTCCTTTGCTCTGAAGTGTGTCCCTTGGTAGGACACCCTCTTGTGTGGGATTCCAGGTCTGCAGGTCATGCACTCTGAAAGCCCCTGGATAGTGGTGTTGGCTGAAGTTCCGCCAGTAGGAAAGGAAACCCATACTCAAAATAGGTTTCTATGTTTGTAAGAAAGAGCAGATGTCTCTTCTAAAAGATAAGGGACCCAACACGGAGAAATGGTGCCATACTGGGGTCTCAGAATTGGCCTCCTTTGCTGAAAGACTGGCCCTTCAGAACCAGCAGCAGCAATAAAGGCCTGGCAAGTGGGATTCCATGCTTCTGGGTCTGCAAGCTTCTCCATCTCTCACACTCTCTCCATCTGTTTATGTGCCAATTGTTTCAGTTCTGGACTGGCTGATGGTGAAGGGTGGCTCATGTCCAACTTGCTGAGCCATTTTGTCTGCTTAACTGTTCAGATCCTCTTCCATTGTTGGTGCTTTCTGGGGGACACTTGTATGTGATGTAAAAATTTCCCTTCATGCTCACTCTCATTTGTCTATCAATGTGCGCCTACCCCAGACCTCCTTGTCTTTAGTATTTTAGTCCTTTCCTTTTTAGGCCTTTGCCTAGGCCATTGAGCACTGGTCAGAAATCTGCATATTCCTACCCTGGGCCACTTCTTCCACGCAAAGTGAATGACAAGGTGCACACCTTAAAGCTCCACACATCAGAAAGATTTTCCATCCCCACTGTCTTTCAGGGCTGTCCCTAGGTGGGTGTGGCTGGAATGTAGCTGCTGTCCATTTTAAGCTCACACCCAAGGAGGAGGAAAAGGCCTGAATATTGCTTATGAAAGCCAAGCCACTACCAGGAAGGGAGGGAAGGCAAAGGGACTCACAGGGCACAAGGAACCAAGAGAGAGCTTATGTGTTTAGGTGAGGTCACTCGGTACCACATTGCAATATTCAGGCCTTTTCCTCCTCCTTCATCTAATCACATGAGATCACACCAGTGCCTCTCCCTTAGCTCACACCTATGGCAGTGTGATAACCATTGCTTCCATTGCTCACTCACACTTCTTTGCCTGTCTAGATGAAGTATTTCCATCCTACAGTGGATTGCCGGAGGGTCATCTGACTTTCACTTGATGGTCTGACAGGACCCAGCTTATAAGGGGAAATTCCAGATTTACAGTCACTTGGTGTCCCATGGTCAAGTGTTGTCTCTGCCAGGGCCCAAAGGTACACCAAAAGCTGTTTCTAAAAAGGTGTATGATTCTCTGATGTGGATGCCATGGCCCTGTTCCAGAACCATAGGAGTGGCGATCTTCCCATGGGGACTGGTTTTAAACCCTGCCCTGCCTGCTTTCTCACCACTGACACCTCTGACACTGCAGGTCTGTCAGATGAGATGGTCCAAGAGTTGCTTGCACTGCAGCCAGGACCTGCTGCAGATCCCTCTCTTGCTCCCAGCCTCTCTCAAATCTCTCAGCCTTCTGTGTCACCCAGTGTGTGAACTGGAGAAGTTATCCTATAGGTGGAATGTTTTCTCCCCCAAACCCAAAGAAGTCTACCAGGTGCACTACTTTTTTCTTTGTGGTGGGGGATTCAAGAGGTAGTGATTTGCCTTTTCCTTTGGAGGGGACATCCTGGAATGCCTCTGACCACTGCACTCCTAAAATCTTCACAGATGTAGCAGATCTATGAATCCCCATAGGGCTTGTTGCCCACCCTCCAGAGTGCATGTGTCTCACCGAGGCATCCCAGTGTGTAGGCTGCCTGTTACTCTTCCTGCCCAATCAGAATGAGGATGTCAGTGTAACAGATCCATGTGCTATGCCATTCTATGCACTGTCTAGATGATCCAAATCTCTTTAGACTGTATTATGACAGAGGATAGATATGACACAGGGCAGAAGAGTTAACATGGTCCTGAGACAAAATGTAAATAGAGATTTTTGTTTGTCCATGTGATCGTGAAATGCTTCTATGTCAGTCCATTTTCCGTTGCTTATAATAGAACACCTGAAACTGGGTAATTATAAAGAAAAAAAAGTTCTTACAGTTGTGGAGGCTGAGAAGTCCAAGATAAAGGGGCAGCATCTGGTGAGGGCCTTCTTGATGGTGGGGACTCTCTGAAGAGTCATGAAATGGCACAATACATCACATGGCGAGAAGGCTGCGTGTGCTCAGGTCTCCCTGTCTCTCTTCTTCCTATAAAGACACCAGTATCACTCCCATGAGAAGCCATTAATCCATTAATCAATTATTGGATTAGTCTATTCGTAAGGGCAAGGAGGAGACAAACATTCAAACAGCAGCGTCTTATCCTCTTTCCTTAATTGGCTGAAATGGAAATGAATGCCTTCATCAAATCAATGGCCACATACTATGCACCCAAGGCCTTATAAATCTATTTGAGCAATGATACTATGTCTGGCACAGAGCATCTGTAACTGGGATTACTGCTTGATGAAGCATGAGGTAGGATACACTCATTCTCCAGAATCCATCCAACTTCTACAGGGTACAGAACTGGCAGATTAAATGGAGATATGATGGGGACCACCATACCTGTTAATACATCCTAGAGGTCTTCAAAGTGGCTCTAATTTCCATTATTCCTCCCGTGAAAATGTTTTTAACCTACAGGGTTTCAGGAGTGGGGATGCAGTTTCATGGGCTTCCATTTGGCTTTTCCCAATGTTAAGGTCACGTTCAGAAGCAGATAGATTCCCCACTCAAAAATTGGCTAGAATGTTAAGACTGATGACACCACATATACACCAAGAGGACAAGAAAAGTTTCACTACTTATATAATTGAGGGTTTTTGGAGGAGGGGAGCAGTCATCTCCAGCAATTCCAAAATGGCTTCTGGAAGCAAAGGAAGGAGAGTGGCCTAGGTTTTCACTATGGTTAGAAGTGGGGGGCCAATATGAGAATTCCCACATGGAGATAGGAACTTGCATGGTTTGAATTTACTTCATGCAGCAAAGAAGGGGGCATGCAGGCTTTTTTGCCAGCTTGCTCAGAGGTAGGTCACAATGGTAAAAGGAAAGGTCGGTTTCTAGGGAGAATAAAGGCTGAGGCAGGTGCTTCTCCAAGCACTGATACTGTTCTGGGAAAGGGAGGCTCTTAGTTACTTGAAAGTTAAACCTTAAAGTGGCCTGTGCTCTGACTGGCCTTCAGTCAGGAAGGGGTTATGTTATAAGGAATAGAAAGCATGGCCAAAAGGCAGAACCACTGTGAAAAGAGAGATGACATTGGGCCTCTTCAGGTGCTTGGCAACCATGGTAGCACAGAAACTGCTTAACTTAGTACAAGGAGACCAGGAAGATACTCTGGACATAGACCAGACTGGGCAACAGAGCAAGACTGTGTCTAAAAAAAACCCAAAAATGACAACAGGAAAGTCATGACTGTGCTGTCACTGCCTGTGTAATAATTGAGCTTTCGTTGAATACTGAGGGCCTGTCCAGGCAGGAGTAGGAATGCTAGATTTCCAAATATACTAAGTATTTTGGGTGCCATCATAAGCATCAAGGAGGCAGGAGATGGTATACCATACTGGACAGTTTAGGAAAAATTTTGAGTATCAAAATCCGTCAGCCACCTATCCTTCACCTTTGGACTCACTGCCAGAGCAACACAGCCAGCAGGCTCGCTAAGTGTTGACAGAAGGAAGACGTCAGAAACTGGAAGCGATAGAGTGTAATGAAAGCAGCGCGGGTCCCAGAATTAACAAGCCTGGTTCTGCAATTCTGTAGCCACAGCAATTCCCACCAATCTCTTGTTCTTGGTTTCTGCCTCTAAACAGAAAGAGGCTCCATGACCTTTAGGGCTAGGGAAAGTAAGGCTCCACTGCCCTACAGGATGTCAGGATAACTCCACCCCAGAGGCCATGGCCGCCAGGGCTCCCTGAGAAACAACCTCAGGCCGCAGGAGCCCCGTTCGGCCCCTCGCTCCCTCCCGCCGGCGATGGTCCACGCCCGCGGTCACCCCAAGGCCCTTACTCTGGCCTCAGCTGTAGACCTTGAGGGAGGGAAAGGGCAGCCGGCACCTCCAACCCGTTCGTGATCCTCGCGCGCCCTCTGGCGGCCAGCGGGGGCATGGCCTCACAAGAATCCCTGCCAGAGCCGAGCTCGCCCCTGGGCGGCCATTTCGCTTTGTGGTGGGTCCCATTTTCCCGGCGGGCACTGCGACGGACTGTGACTGTGGTTCCGGGTGTGGTGGTGCACGCCGGTGGTCCTAGCTACTTGGGAGGCTGAGGCGGGAGAATCGCTTGAGCCCAGAAGATCTACGTTGCAGGGAGATATGATAGCGCCACCACACTCCACCCTGGGCAACAGAGCGAGAGCGTTTCTAAAGAGAATAAAAAGACAGCAGGAAACAACGACCGTGCGGTTGTGGCTGCAGGAAATGGCGGCGTACCCAGGCGCACTCATCACGGTGGCGCGCTCAACAAGGTGCACAGGCGGGCACGCGTCGCATAGCCTGGTGGCGATTTCACATTCGGACAGGCGAAACGTCCCGCTCCCGCTCCCCAGACCCTGGAGAAGGTGAGGAGTGCCGCTCTGCTCCACCCCTTTTCCTTATCCATCTCTTCTGTCTTCCCAAAGAGATGGTGAAGCTCTGGCACTGTAGTCCACACATGGGATAAACATGAGAAACTGAGGAACTATTAAAAAGATGTCTATGCTGGAGCTTCCATCCAGGCCTGCAACCCTGCCCGCTGTTCCATGTCTTATGCACTTCATTCTGGGAGACTCTGTGCCTGCCCTGGGGAGCCAGTCACACACTGCCCGCACACAGCAGTGTTCTGTCCACTGGCATCATCCAGTGTGTTCAGCTTGGCTTCTTTCCTCAACCCCATAAGCCACTGATTCTGGATTGGAACCACTGCTGCAAATAGGTCATTCTCTACACTCCCTGGCAGACTATGCCCAGACCATATCCCAGTGACCACAATAGAGTCAGTATTCCAGGCCACTGTTTTCCCCAGCTCCCATTTTATTCCAAAGAGACGTTCCCCCCAGTTTCCCACAGCAAAGGCGAGAACAGCTGGAACACTGAATGTAATATATTGAATAGAAACACATACCGAAACCATTGAAGAGAAGGGAACCACAACACAGAGAGAAACTGCAAACAGCCACGACAGGCCACAGATCCCGGGCCTCTCCTCCTTGGGTTCCTGGCAAGGTGCCTTGTCTTCCCCCGCTCCTGCTTCAGGCCCTGCGGCCACCTCCCTCCTTCCCCAGGGCCCCAGGTCCGCCTCTTGCCAGGACGGTGGACTCTGGCAGTATCCACTGGCTTCAGGAAGCCCCTTCTCAAGCCCATTTGCTGGGGCAGGGCCCTGCATTATGGCTTTCACAGGATCGTCACAGGACACTGGAAGACACAGCAGGGAAGACCCCACCAGGTCAAGGAAACTGAGTCACAAGTAACAACAGGGGTGGAACACCAAAGCACAAAGCTCCCTGGGGAGCCTCAGGCAGGGCAGCCCCTCTCTGTCAGTGGTCCAGTTCTTCCTGCCACAGTCACGGTCACCATCGTGGTCACGAGGTGAGCGTTTGCCGTGTCCTGTCACCTCCTTCCCACCATCTCTCAGGAATGTCCTGGGGGCCTCCGGGGAGAAGCTGTTCAGAGAAGAACACACACAGCTCCATGAGTACAAGCAGCCCCTGGCCTAGGTCTACACTGGGAAAGCAGAGGTGGTGCTCACAACGAGAGACAGACAGCAGGGACCACAGTGTGGGCTTGCAGGAAGCTCACAGCATGTGTCCTGGGCCCAGAGGCGGCCGCCCAGGTAGGTGCACAGCACACAACATTTTGCAGGAACGACAGCTAGCAGTGATCACTATGGGGCCTACACAGGTGAGGGTGGGATTCCTGGAACAGGGGACAGCCTGCCCTGGGAATGGCGAGTGGGGGAACCCCTCTTGGGAGACCCAGGCAGCTGGAACCCTTGAGAGGGCCTCTTTCCCCCTGTCATCTCTCATCCCAGGACAAGGGGTGGGGGACAGACATCTTCAAGTGCACCCACCCAGGCCATGGCTGGCCTCTCAGGGATCCCTCTAGGCCGGCCCCCTGGGAGGTGGCAAGATTTGGGGCTGGGGCTGGGTGCTGCACTGGGTGCACTGGAGGGGCGCCTTCCCCCATCCCATTTCGTATCAAACATGGTCATCTGAGTCACCGGGAAGCACTGGTGACGCTAGCCAGGGCTCTGTGGAGGGAGGTGGGGGCCCCAATCCCAATGTGAGATGAGGGACCGGCCCTGACCTGGCCTCCCTCCTGCCTCTAGGGCACTGCTGCCCTAGAGGAGAGGAGGCCACGGGGCCCTCAGAGTGTATTTGCCAGGGGAGGATTTGGGCTGCCCCACCTCCCCCCACCCCATTCTCATTTTCCAACTCCTCCAGGATGGACTTAAACCCCCCGGGAGGGCTCGTCAGCCTCCTGGCCTCCCTCGTGGACAAGACCCTCTGGCTCACAGACAGGACCTCCTCGGGCCATGTTGGCTGCACTGCCCATCCAGGCTGGAGAGGGGCCACAGGGGCCTCGGGGTGGCCTGTCAGCCCTAGGCCTTTAAGGCCTGCAGGGGCATTTTCATCTTCCTCAGTGGCAGAGGCACCCCTGGCGGCGTCTTTGGTGGCAGAATCGGCCTGAGCAGCATCTTCTGTTCCGGGACCAGCCTCGCTGGCATCCCCACGGGCTGGGGAGGCCTGGGTGACATCTCCTCGGGCAGGGGCCATCTGGGAGGCAGCTGGGTCTTCACTCTCCACTGGGGCCTCTGGCCAGGCTGCACCCTGCTGGCTCCTCGCTGGGGAGGCCGCCCACACTTCCATCTCCCGGATGAGCCGAAGCAGCCCCAGGAAGCCGGGCGGCCTCCTATCCAGCTGCATCCCCCTCAGGGTATCCTGGAGAGCCTCGCTGGGGCGGGCCCGAGACAGCACCTGCCGCAGTCGAAAGCGGTTGGCCAGGGCATGGTGGACGGCCCCCTTCTCCACCGCCCTCTGCAGCAGGCCTTCCAGACGCACCACGAAGGCGAACAGCCCCTCCTGGGGCCCCTGCGTGCAGGTCAGGAACTTCAGCCGAGAAGTCATTCGAGTGTCCCGGTCCCTAAACACCTGCCCCAGCGCCGCCAGGCAGTCCCGCGCAGACAAGTTGGGATCTTCCTCCAGGAGGCCGCTCACGACATCCAGGGCCGGGCCGCCCAAGCTCTCCAGCAGCCACCTCCTCCTGTCCCTTTCCGACTCGTGGTACCACAGCTGCAGCATGTCTTTGGCGTGCTCCAGCCAGCTCTCAAAGGACTCTTCCACACAGCCTGGCTGCTCCCTCCCGGAAAAGGGTCTCAGTTCCCGGGAGGCCCTGTTTTCCTGCACAGCCTGCAGGGCGCAGCCCCAGGGCTGGACCCAGGCTCTTGCCATATTTGTCCCTCCTGCCTCACCCGCAGCTCCTGTGTCACCTGTGGTTCCCTCATATGACTCTTGCCTCTTCTGCAACCCTCAATTCATCTTCAGCTCTTCCGTCACCTGCGCCTCCTGCCTCGCCTGTGCCTCCTGCCTCGCCTGCCTCACCTGCGCCTCATGCCTCACCTGCACCTCTGGCCATTGCTTGTCCCTGGGGCCGTGCAGAAAAACTGGCCAAATCCTGAAACTCAACGTCAGTAGCCTGGGACAGGGAGATCACACTCCAGGGTTCCCCTTTGCCTGGTATTTGGTGGGGAATCAAGCTTCAGTTTCAACTCTCAGCGAAATTCACCAAGGCTGCCCTGGCCCGGAGATCCTTTCTGAAGATCTTGCCAAGTACTGGGTGCCTTCCCAGGGCCAACAGGGCAGCCCACCCGGCCTCCTGGAACTCATGTTCCTCGCAGTCATCAGGGATACCCAGGATGAACAGGGAGCAATATGCATTCACACCCATCCACCTGCACCAGTCCCAAAGCATCGCCAGAGCCATCACAGAGGACTTGAAGGAGGGAGCTTGATCAGACAGGAGTCTGTGATGACTGCTGCAGTCTCTGACGCAGCCTGTGCCTGTGCGTGCAAAGGGGAGAGAGGGATGTTGCTGCCAGTCAGTCCACCCCCACCACACAGCCAGACACCAGCCACTTCCCAATGCAGGGCCTGAAGTGTCTCCCCTGCCGAACGTCACAGCCCATGCTCCCCCACCTCCACTGCTGCAGCTCAGAACCCTTCACTGCGCCCCTCACCTCCACAGCAGGAAGTACCTCGTTCACCTTGGTGAACAGCTCCCAATTGTGGAACTTACAGCTGGAGCCCCTCCAACAGTCATCTGCAACCCCGCAGCTGGATGCGCCCACCTCTTTTTCCCAGCACTTGACCAGGAGCCCCCTCCCTAATCTCATCCTCCCTGCAACCTGGCAACGGCCTCCCAAACCTCCCACACCAGCAGTCCCCTTCCCCCACAGCCAGAGCCCCTCTCTCCCATTGTTCCCTTCTGCATCCAGAGCCTCCCTGCAGCCAGGAGCTCACCCCACCCAGACTCCTGCAGCAAGGAGGCCCTCCTCCCCTCTCCTCAGGCTCCAGACCAGTACCCCCCTCTCGCGCTTACTGCCTGTAAGGACAGCAATCTGGCTCTTGCCCGTGGTGCCCTTTGCCACTCTGGGGTCCCACTGATGCCTGCTCACTGTCTGTGGACACTGCAACCAACCTCGAGGAAGTGCTGCCTTCAGGCTCCTGAGTCCACTTCGGAGACTGCCTCGAGACCCTGGAACAGGAGGGTGGAAGATCACACCTCAGCAGCGCAGCCAGGGCTGCAGTGCACAGGGATATCTCAGGCCGGCTGTGCTAAGGACACATGGGCTTCCAACTTCTCCCAGAAGCCTCAAATAGATGACAGAGAAAAACCTCAGAGTCTCTGTGGGAGGCAAATAGCTAGACAGGAGGAGGCATCCGTGTTGCCCTGGGAATGGGACCTGCATGGTAAAGGCTTGATGTGCCAAGGCTTTGAGCCTCCACAAGCAACAGGCCCAACCATTGACCTGCCATCAAAATGGCCTAGTGGAAGTGTGGAGGTGTGGAGAGAGAAAGGCGATTGGAAACTGGCAGAAAGAAAGCTCATGCTTAGGGGCAAGGTCTGGAAGCTGGGAGTTAGCGGACAGCCAGGTACCAGGACTCCAGACTAGGTCCCCCAAATCACTACATTCACAGGCCTACCTCCTCATTCCAGGAACCTCCACATAACTCTGAGGCTACAAAGTCAGTCTTCACTACCTAGAGAGCCATTGCATTGGAAAGAGTGTGAATAGCTTTTGGAAGCAGGCAAAGCCGCTTCACCTTGCAGCTGGGTGGCTTTGCACAAACCAGTGAACATCTCTGTTTCTCATCTGTAAATGAACAAGAACATTTTTCTTGTGGTGGAGCTTTACCTTCCGTTAGACATACAGTAAGCCTTCAGTACATGACCACAAGGACGCAGGAATGAAAAGGGTATTGGAGGCAGGTTGTTGAAGCCAGCCCAGTAGTCGCAGGTCTGAGCTCTGGGAAAAAGCAGGATATCGGTGGGAACATTGGAACTGTTTTCCAAGGGAACACAAGGATTGGCCAATGTGACAGTATGACTTTCTGTTTCTGCAGGCTTTGGTCAAGAGAGGCATTTGGGGAGCTCAGCCAGTCTTTGTCATGTCTAGGACTGGATGTCCTTCTGGCCAGCAGCCTTGGGAGTTTCCTGAGAGTGGACCATAGTTCATCCTTGAGTACTGCTGCACTGGCCACCAATGTGAACCGTAAGAGCAGGAGGGGCAGAAGCAGACCACATCTAACCTTCCTTGCAAAGTGTAGGTGAGGGACTTGCCCATGAACTCTTGTAGTAGATTTATTTTTTAATGTCCCTGGTTCTCCACTGTTCCCTGTATCAACACCATTTGTAATATGATTTCAAAACTCCTTCCATCACAAGGTAGTGTCAGTTTCTCCACCTCTGGAATCTAGGCTGGCCTAGAGACTTGCTTTGAAAAATAGAACATGAGAGAAGTGATGAGATGCCAATTACCGTTGATCATGGGTCACATTTTCCTGTTGCTTCGCATGTTCTGGATTTTTTAAAGTTGTATGCCAGGCATTGTGCTTAAAAGAACCATAGGGATTAGAGTACACTCTTTCCTTGGTTAGGTACTATAGTTTCCCTGAGGTATATAAATTCAATCCAATCATAATTCCAACTGGACCGTGGCTTGCATACATCTTTAGTTAGTATTAGTTTAGTTAGTATCAGGTTTCAAACACCCTGAAGGTAGGATTTGTGTTAAAAGCTACTTCCTCCAGTTGCTAGAGTCAAGCAGAATTTAGGAGTCTAAATAGAAGATTGATATTCTCTTTCTGTCTCCCTCCCTCCCTTCCCCCCCATTCTGTCTCACCCTACCCTGCCATATGACTTCTGTCACCATGCACTCAGGAAAAAACAAAAACAAAAAACACTCATTGGGAGACTCCATTGATGGGGGGAACTAGCTATGCATTTGGGTCTCCTACAGATTCCAATCTGTCTATCCAGACCACACAGTCATTAACTATCTTTATCCCAGCAATTATTGCGCCTATGGCTGGCATAATCCCCTGCCTTGTAAGCCCATTCTTTTTTTTTATTTTATTTATTTTTATTTTTTTATTGCATTTTAGGTTTTGGGGTGCATGTGAAGAACATGCACATGTACATGTGAAGATTGTTGCATAGATACACAGATGGCAGTGTGATTTGCTGCCTTCCTCCCCTTCACCTATATCTGGCATTTCTCCCCATGCTATCTCTCCCCACCTCCCCACCCCTCACCGTCCCTCCCCTATTTCCGCCCGACAGACCCCAGTGTGTAGCGCTCCCCTCCCTGTGTCCATGTGTTCTCATTGTTCAACACCCGCCTATGAGTGAGAACATGCGGTGTTTGATTTTCNCCGCCTATGAGTGAGAACATGCGGTGTTTGATTTTCTGCTCTTGTGTCAGTTTGCTGAGAATGATGGTTTCCAGGTTCATCCATGTCCCTACAAAGGACATGAACTCATCATTTTTGATGGTAAGCCCATTCTTACAAGAGAGAACAATGGACATTGATATGTGCTTGTCTCTCTCTCTGAAATTTAGTTAACTTGACTTCAGGCTGGGCACGGTGGCTCGTGCCTGTGGCTCAGCACTTTGGGAGGCTGAGGCGGGTAGATCACTTGAGTCCAGGAGTTTGAGACCAGCCTGGGCAGCATGGCAAAAACCATCACTACAAAAAACCCCAAAATTATCCAAGCGTGGTGGCGTGCACCTGTAGTCCCACTACTCAGGAGGCTGAGGTGGGAAGATCCTTTGAGCCAGGGAGGCGGAGGTTGCAGTGAGCTGAGACTGTACCACTTCACTCCTGGTTAGGTGACAGAGTGAGACAGTGTCTCAATATATATGAGGTTTCTGACCATCTGATTTTTTTATAGTTGTTACAGTGATATTAATGGTCTGTCACGAGCTACATCCTAACCAGAACAAGTCTACTCTAGACCCACAAAGAAGTGGAGTTCTTGTTTCTGAGACATTTTAAGTGATCTCTTTTAACCCTAGAAACTACCTAAGGTAGTAGGGGTAATCGGTGCATTTGAAATTTTGACATGAGAGGGAAAATGACCCTAGTGGATTTGTAATTACCCTAAGTTCCATGTCTTTAAAACTAGGGATGTTCGTATTGGTGGCTTACTTTTGCTCCCTGACTTTACAAATAACAAGTAGACACAGTTAAGTGCCAGGTTTGTCAATGGGAAAGATGTATAGACCTGGTTCACTGGACATTTTTCTGAGATGTATATTTGGTTATCACCTATTTGAATAGTAAAAAGTCCTCCTTTCCTCACCTCATCCCAACTGTGATATTAACAACAAAAATCTGAGTTATGATGTAGAATGCCAGAACAATGGGATATTGTACAGTTAGGCTTGAGGACCTAATTTTGGTTCACTGGACAAGGTGTATATGCAATTGAGTGTTCAGTAACAAAATTTATCCTAAAACACAGAGGAATTTTGTATCTATATTTATTACCCTAATTGTCCACAATCCTGGAGATGCCACGTGATGACAGACCAGCAGGACTGGACGTATTTATGCTCACAGAAACATTTTCTGTTCTGTCTGCAGTGCTATCACAGCTTACGTGGTGGCACCTGGGGAAAAGTAACAAAAGCAGCTGACAGAAATAAGGGACATAGTGGATAGTGATATAACAGGGGTAGGTGGTAGGAACTCAGTATAGTTTGCACATGGTAAATACTACATACAAACTCCTAAGAACTGGAACTTCATTACACCAGCCCCCAGGATGAAATACTTCATGGCTCTCCCTCTGTGGGAAGTAGGGGTACTATGACTCATTTGACTACTGATATTGCACCCACTGAGACATGTGGTAAAAGTGCAGCTCAGCTCAGGCTGAGCAAGGCAGAGCCATTCCTGAAAGCCCAAAGC